TTTTTTTTGTTTGTTTTTTTTAGGACAACAGTATCTCCAGAAGAAAAACATTTGCGAAGATGTCTTTTCAAGTTGTAAAGAAATCAGTGTTTTGAAACTAATGAAAACAGCAGAAGTCAATGATTCATTTCAATAATTTAGGACACGTTTACTTTTCCAAAATATTTTAAATGTTTCTCAAAATAAACTATATTGTGTTCAAACTAGGTGGAAAAGTTTTAGTTGTTCACCCAGACATTTAAAAACTTATTTTAGAGCACTAATAATACTGTGAAACTGTGATAATTTTATCCAAAGTTCTCATACCGTCAGAATCTTATACCGACCTATGCCTATTTGTGAAGCATAAAGTATACAGTAAGGGGGTCTTAAAACTATTTCTGGTTAATACAACATTCACCTGAGGTATGATTACAGTTAATGCACTGCAGCTACTGCATTTTACTTTATAGTTTCTACCATTAATATAATTTGTTTTACCATTTATGAATTACAACACCATGGTACAGCATCATATATTCCACTTAAAAGCATTGTGAATTATTTACTACATTCATTAAACTCACAATATAAATAGTTATAAAATGTTTTAAATACAATAAATAAATTTACAAATTAAATATTTGTATAAAAAATAAACATTAAAAAACTCATATGCTACATTTTATTTCATATATATACTTTAAATTATTGTTATTTATTTATATAAAAAAATATATATACACATTTTTTTAAAGAAATCATGACTTTATACTTTAATGCACTGATTTGTTTTATATAAGTTATATGTATTACAAATCGGGGGCAGCATGGTACAGTTTAAGATGCCGTACTGCAATATGCATTATGTTAAGCGTTATTAATAAGTGTATTATCATAACATGATGTACTCCAGAGAAATTCAAATATTGTCATGGCACAAAATACAACGTACGTCGTAAATGGCTCTTACAGAGTCATTTTAGCTGACATCCGTTTACTATGGTACATTTCTGTATCAAATACCAGAGCTATTTAGTTTTCATATTTAGGCTGTTTCCCCAAGAGTACTAGATTTACTAAACAAGAAACTTACTTCCAAATGACGCCAGTCTATCCATGTTGTAAATGAATGATGGGATCTGGAAAATGTAAAACCTTCCTCCTCCTCTTCCACTCGTTTGGAAAAAAATTGAGATCTTTCTGTGATTTGTGCTGAATTAAACTGGGCGGTTGTACCGATTATGCCTCGTCGTTAAAAAGCAAAGAATAAAAACATAATCTTATGCTCTGTTTAACACATTATTGAGAATGTAAACACAGTGCTTCTGCTCGATCTGTGCAGCTCAGTGAACAACATTAGGAGGGGAAGTGACGTTCTTCCACAGCGCCCCTCAGCGGCACCTGCGCGATACATACATACATGAATATGTGACAGACTCGCGAGCTCAGCCTTTCTACAGTGAGGTCAAGATCTCTCAAGTGACTTTTAATAATCATCTACAGTATAACTGATAGCCTACTTTACACTGGACACTTGAGGAATATCAGACCAGATATTTCGTTTTCATCACTTTCCCACCTGTAAATCATCGTAAGTATTTTTTTACGGATTCATTTCTCATAGTTTTATAAGAGGCGTTCAACTCATAGATATTTATAATTGATATCTATTATATAATGTCGATGGTTCAGCTTCAGGATGATCCTGTTTTTATACATTATTTAGTATTAATAGATTACTATGAAAGTTAGAATTATTATTATGATTATTATTATTATTAGGTTATTACATTGATATATAAATTACATAATTATAATTTTTACTTTTACTTTCCTTTGGCCTTTTCCTTGCTTTAGCGTGGTTACCACAGCGAAATGAACCGTCAATATCTTAATTTTATGAAATTTCATTTTTCCTTTTGTTAATGTTGGTTATTGTATTTACTAACATGAGCAAATGAGGAAATGCTAATGAACAACAGATTTATTACAGTACTTGTTCCTCTTTTTTAACGTTTGTTAATGACAATAAAGTTGTTCATTGTTAGTCAACGTAACTCACAGTGCACTGACTAATATTAACAAGCACAACTTTAGATTTTAATAATGTTGAACTCGGTCGAGGCAGTGACGCAGTAGGTAGTGCTGTCGCCTCACAGCAAGAAGGTCGCTGGGTCGAACAGTTGGCGTTTCTGTGTGGAGTTTGCATGTTCTCCATGTCTTAGCGTGGGTTTCCTTCGGGTGCTCCGGATTCCCCCACAGTCCAAAGACATGCGGTACAGATGAATTGGGTAAGCTAAATTGTCCGTAGTGTATGAGTGTGTGTGTGTGAATGTGTGTGTGGATGTTTCCCAGAAATGGGTTGCAGATGGAAGGGCATCCGCTGCGTAAAAACTTGCTGGATAAGTTGGCAGTTCATTCCGCTGTGGCGACCCCGGATTAATAAAGGGACTAAGCCGACAAGAAAATGAATGAATGAATAATGTTGAACTCAAAAAATGCCATACAGATTTGATAATGCTTAGTTCATGTTAGTAAATGCATTAACAAACATTAACTAACAGACCATTATTTTGAAGTATCACCCTGATATTTTTAGTTATGCACACTTTTATGTATTGTCCATTTAGCTTTTTAAATTAATTGAATTTAGGAAAAGATAACATTTACTCTGTCTCTTAACCTCTGAAAAAAAAAACACTGTATTTAAGTCCATTTATTCTTGTTGTTATTATAAATTGTGAAAAAATCATCCAACCGTTTTAAATTCATGATTGAGCTATTCCAGCGTTATGGATGTGACTTTTGCAAAACATAAATTCACAGAGAAACTGTTAACGTGTTTATATTTTCCAAAACAACTAACCACAGAGTAATGGGATCAGAAAAACATCGATCTGTAAACATTTTTTAGATCTTAAATGAGGGAAATAAACATGCGTTATGGATGATGAAAAAAGTTAGTGAGTTTACAGCATTCGACATACTTTGTAGAAATTCTGTGAATTAAACTGCACACCCCAAAATAAACAATGCTAATCGTAAGGATAAGAGTTGGCTTACTATAGGAAATAAAAAATACTGATTTTATTAATTGCAATGAGAAAAAAAATGGTTATGGATGTGAAAGATTTGTAATATCCACTTGTATGACTTTGGTAAATCAAATGTAAAACATTAACGAGATATTTTTGAGTGTTTCTAAAGTACTGTAAAATACTTGCTTCCACAAATAAATTTAGAAATGGTTGCTATTTTGGTGAAAACTATTTTTTTTTTCATAGCAAAGTTGACATTTGAATGGAATTGCTCGATTGTAAATTTAAAAGCACAAATGTGAAACTGCTAGTTTACAATGAGTATGCAAATTTTATTTAGAAAGACTTCTCCCATATTGGAGCAGTCAATGATGGTCCATGAATGGTTTGCTGCACAATGTTGTGGCATCTTGAAAAACTAATTTCAAATTTATTTTTAGTGATTTCATGTTTTAGTGGTTAGTTTAAATATTTAACACTTCAAGATGATAGACATATTGACATCAGAGTCTTAGGACATACAAACTCTGGGCACACATATACAGTATTTAAAGTAAAACACACAGTATTTAAAGTAAAACACATGCAATATGATGGAATAGTCTTCATTGTCTTCAAAATAAAAGAGCCAATGGGACTTTTAATGCACAGGGACTTTTAATTTTCAGTAAGTCAACTTAAGAGCTTCCGGTGAACTGCCATGGCATTACAAAATAGTCACGTTTAAGATTTGATTTCTTAAAAATAATCTATGATCTTCTTTACTGCCTAATTGAGATACGATATAAAGTGGGCCTTAGACCAAACAAGAAGCACTAAATAGGGTATATGCAGAGCTAGTATTTCTTCCCATACCCATAAACTTCCGGTGAACGGTTAATGTGACTTTTTTTCAATTTTACACAGTTCCTTTTACAGCATCAATGTTGTAATGTAATTAAAATCGATATGTTAAATAGAGTTCAGCATTCATTTAGTTGTTGAAGCGGAAACCGAGATGAAAAGCTGTTTACATGCACGCACCCATCAGGATCAGCAGGCAAGCACAGAAACACCATTGGAAACACTTGAGTAAAACAAATTAAAATATTTTAAAGACATGACATGGGAAAATGTAATTTAATTCAGTGCTTCTTGTACAGTCTGAGGCCCATTTTACAACGTATATCATTTAGGAAGTGAAGATCGTTCATTTTTAAAGAAAACAGACCATAAACATACCGATTTTGTAATAGCATACTGTTCACTGGAAGCGTTTGACCCAGGTTACTGACAAATTAAAAGTCCTTCAGCATGTTTCTGCATTCAGTATACCCTATTGCATTACATTGTTCCACACCATGTCTATCAAATATGACAATATATTTTACCACAGTATTTTCATTTGAGTTTCTCTGCTTGCCTGCTGCTCCTGCAGCGCATGTGTTAAACATTTAAATGGCCTTTTATCTCGTTTTATGCCTCAACAACTAAATAAATGCTTAAGTCTATTTAACTGATTAGATTTTAATTAAATTACATTATCAGTGCTGTAAAAGGAACCTTATGAAATTGAATATACTATAGTCAGATTAACCATTCAATGGAAGTTTATTGGTGGCTGAAAAACACTTGTTGCATGTATAGCCCATTGCAAATTGACTTTTTTGTCAGTGCAGCAGCTGTTGGAAGCTCCAGCTGTGACAGAAACCATCAATGAGAGGTGCAGGACTGCACTTGTGCACTAGCTGATCTGGTCTGAATAACTTGTTTGACCATTACTTTCTTTCAGAGAGAATCCAGCTGGTGTCAAAATGCCAGCAGAGGTCACTAATGAAACATTACAAAATAAATGCCTTTGGTTTGCTCAAATGGTCACCCATTCCTGACAACTGACTACTTATTTTCACATACCAATGTCGACAGGTATGGTCTTGTCATGTGGGAAACACGTTGATTTGTGTAAAGCAGTGTGAAATGTCAAATTAATAACACAGCATATTAGAACAGTTCTCAGGCTTTTTATTTGATTTTTAATTATAAACAATGAACATGAACAACCAAGGATGATAGCCTATAATACCATTGTAAAGACCATTACTTGGAGCCTTTTCAACAGGGTAAACTCAATTTTACATCTTTCTTGATCTAATCACAACAAAGGATCCCAGTTAAATAGTACCAATGGATTACGCAACGCAATTAACTCCCAAACTAGACTTCTAATGGCCAGCATTCCTCCCTCTTCTCCCAGGTCTCTTCTTTTTGGGGTGCTGCTTGTGAACATGGATGTGAGTCTCTACAACAACTCTCACATGCAGCATTGGACAAGGTGTTTGAGCTGTATTGGAACAGATTATGCAGGGTGTGTGGTTATTGCAAATGAATTCTGAACAGACATGCACTTAAAATGACATTTCTAAGTAGAGCTGGGTGATTAATCGAAGAAGGCGATTTTCACATGGGGCTTCACATTTGCTAAGTGGTTATTGTCACCTCACAGCAAGAAGGTGACTTGTTCTGAGTCCCGGCTAGACCTGGCAGCATTTCTGCGTGGAGTTTGCATGTTCTCTCTATATTTTTATTCCAGGTTCTCCAGTCTCCCTCATGGTCCAAAGAAGTGTTACAGGTGGACTGAATAAAATTATTTTTCCGTAGTGTGTGAATGGGAGAGTGTGTGCTCTGTGTAGTAAATGCTGGACATAAAATGACCCAGATTATAACATTTTTACTTCAAACTAACTTCATAACTTTAATTAAGTAGTTGAAATAAATTCTTATGTAAGATGGTTCCTTAGTCATTTGATTATTAGTCACACTGAATCAATGAAAGCAGTTCAATCTTCTGTTTATAATGCAACGCTAAGGGAATGCCTTCTGTTTCTTCCTCATGGGTATTTGGAGTTTCACTTGAGAGCGCCCTCTGCCCTTTGGAGGAGATTTAATGCTTATCGCCCAGTTGTGCTTCCCTGACTAGATGCGCATGACAAAGGTTGTATTTATGAATTAATTTCAATTAATCACCCAGCCCTATTTCTAAGAGCTCAAATAATAAAAATAAACAGGAATAAAAAGAGAATCTTACCATTTCGCAGATTCTCTGCATGAATGAGTCCTTGCCTGTTGCGAACACAAACGTTTTAAGTTTGCTAAAAATACATTCTTAGAGAAAGAATGGATAAGAAAGCAAATATTTAGCAATTAGATTGCACAGCAGTATTGTTAGGCTTGTGGCCTTAGTTTGCAATGCGTGACGGTACTGTGGTGATTCTAGACTAATCATCTTTAAGACATCTCTTTCAATGAATATTTAAAACTTACCTTGACAGGTATCTAGCATAACCCATCAAATCTGGGGTGCAGCCGGTGGTATAACCAACTGTATCGTATACAATCTCACGATTATATCCCCAAGGATCATCTTGACACTGAATGGAAATCTGTAATAAAACACAAAACACAGAACCCCTACATTAACAGCAGTGTGTGTAATTGAGTTACTTACATTTAATAAATTCTTTCTCCAAAACATTATCCTTGAGTTGAAGTGTTTTCTTAGACTTAGCAATATTATAATTAATAGTAGTATAACAAAATGTGGGCAATGTAAAACACAGCTCAAACGAGTTAATTTAATTAATCAGATCTTTATAAGAATTTGCTTGCATTTCTATTGAAAAATACGTTGTTTCAGCCAATCATTTGCCAAAACATTGGTAATCATGACCACTGATAAAATTTGTAATATCAACGACCAAATAGATGACATAAAATAACACAACAACCCATTTAAGCATAATTTAAAACAAAGTCAAAATTTAAAGTACAAGGTTTTAAAACACTGATTGATTGATTGATATGTAAAATTTTGTAGTGTAGCCAGACGTTTATCTTAATATTTAAAGCCCTCTACACTGTAAAGAAACAAAACAATTTCTTGCTGCTTTAACTATTTTATTTGAATCAAATGATCTTTTCTCGACATTCATCAAACTGTTAAAAAATATTAAGTAAACTTAGTATAAACCGGATCTTTTTTTGTCATTTTTTACAATAGACCATGCTTTTCCTTTTTGTGTTTTGAAGAACCTCATAAAGAAAAATGTACAAAAGTATTATTGCTTTTATTATTATTATTATTATTATTAAAATAATAATAAAAATACATCTTACAAAATATAAGCATAATTTTATTGAAAATGTGCACAACCCCTGTCTCTCATCTAAAAAATGCTATAATGCTAATGCCGTTCATTAACGGTTTACTCAAAATGCAAATTTTTTGCAGGCTATTATTCAGTATCATTTTAAAAGCTGGTTGCTAGAAAATGTTTAGCCAAAAATGGCTTCGTAGCGTCAAATGAAAGTAAAGGAAGCACAACTGTTCTTACTTACTGATATTTCATTCAATAAGCCTTGTTATCTTGACTATAACCAAGAAAATGTCCTAATCATTATCATGTTTTTAATCATTATACAGAAACTAAAATCTAAGCAGTTACCATAAGTCGAACATGCATGCATGACCAACTGACAAACGAGGTCATGCAAAGACACACGCTCAAATCAAAACGGTAAATGTCATTTCCCTAAATAACGAAAATATTTTCAATTGGCCGGTTTTATTCCTCTTAAAAAAACATATATAGGCTAACAAGTAGATTTAAATTTCACCTTTTCACCTGCGAAATCCATTCTGTGAAGACCTGATTTGAGAGTGACCTCAAGACCTGAAGTTTAGCAGATATGACTTTGATACGTAATAACGTTTTGCTACGTAAAGACGCTTTGATACGTAAAGACGCTTTGATACGTAAAGACGCTTTGATACGTAAGGACTTTTAACTTGTCATTCCCTCACATATAAATAATATAACATAAACACAACAAAGTTGTTGTAAGATATGTAATTTTCGCCCAGAAGTTTCATGCAGATTTCACAAAACAATTGGAAAACAAACAAACAAACAAACAAACAAACAAACAACAACAAAAAAAAAAAAAAACAGCAAGTACACACAGCAAATTAAACAAACTTTTGACGAGACTGGAATTGTGTTCTCTACTAACACTAATCCAGCTTTTAGAATGTACATTGTTTTACAGTATAAGGGAAATCAAATATTCTGTATCTTCAGTTGGTATCTTGTCATACTGTATTTGTCATATTCTCTCACCTTTTCTGACAAGCCGGTGTCTGTAAGTTGGATCTGAACAGTGTTCCGTTCCCATTTACTAGTTATCCTGATGCCAAAGTTTTTTATAAAAAAAAAAATAAAATAAAATCACTCATTTTCATAGCTTATATCCAAGCATAGTGAATATATTCCCTTCATGTTGGTCTTCTCTGCGTCGTTCCTTTATACTGTGTGATTCTGAGATATCCTTTCTAAAATAGAGGAAATGTTTTTCATATCAGCCCATTTCCTGCATCCCTTTCCTGTATCCCTATAGCATAAAATAAGCATAAAATTAAAACAATTCTGCTTGAAATATGCCCTTAGCTTTTTAAATTAGTGATCATTGGCTTTCCAGCAAACATCAGATGGTTTTATCGGAGAATGTTAGAGAATAAAAGGCTGATACATTTCCTGTTTAAGTTACCTCCCAGCTAGCAAAATTATTGTGGCTCAAATCCTGCCCTCACCAGACACTCACATCCGGCCTACATAACGCATGGAATGATGGCTCTTGGGCGGTCCGCTCCTGTTTTACAGATCTGGGACACAATTAAGACATTGCAATATCACATATCAGCCAGAATTCAACCAAATGAACTAGAACTGACCCTATTCTGGACCACAGTTTGCTTTTATTCTGGCCCAGATCTGGCCTACACCTTTCACTTGCGGTGTGGCAAAGTACAAAAATCCCAGCATGCATTGCAGTATGACTATAGCTTATTGATGCTCCAGTTTTAATTTTTTGCTGTTGATTCAGCTGTTTATTTTGACGTTGTTGATTTTGTCACTCTTAGTCTCCTGTTTGTGACTTTTTTCCCCATTTTGTTCATTTTTTTTCAGTTAATAAACCTTTATAATTTTGTGGCTTGTGCAAGCATGATCTTACCTTACCTTTAATAATGGATTAAACATTTGTTAACATCAGTGAATTATATTATTTCATCACAGTTTGTGCCTCACTTATTTTTATTTATTTTTTATTTAATTTAAATTTTATTATTATTTTTTTTACTTGGCTTGTTTGCTTTAATGAGTAAACTTTTCAAGCAAAGTTCTTAAAAGTTACAGCAGCCCAAAATAAAATTTATATTAAGAAGTTCAGGGCTAAGAGCCCAACTAAAGCGAACACTTTTCTCCATAATGGTGACTTAAGTCTATGTGGTCCACATATGTACCTGACTGATTATCTGACCATCTCAGTGAACAAATTATGATCTCTAATGCAAGTACTGAACCTTGCATATATAGATATACTTATAAAAATATAAATTCTCATTTGCCTACCAATGCAAAAATGTTTCTATAAACTTTCCTGCACCAAAAAAATTTTACACCAGGACTAAGAATTCTGGTTATATAACCAGATATATACTGTATATCTTGTGCAGTAGTTCTTATCTCGGATAATCATGCTTCCACTGTTTACACTCTACTGTTTACACCAGTGTGAAAACCACCTTTGGAACTTTTATTTTAAAGAATTAAAATTAAACTGATGTTCGACTGAGAATTGAGTAACTGAAAAGTCTAAACACTCTTGAAAATCAACACAAGTCAGATAGGTGTAGACTCATTTTATTGGATAAAAGGCAAACATTTCAGTCACAATGTTCTCATACAGTGAACAATGTTAATGCCAAGCTTACTATGTTGAAACTAAAAGACATCTTAATTAACATGATCATTTAGTAGATCACATGATCAAACAGCCTGATCTCACGAGAAAACGTAAGTATTTTACGTTTTGCCAGTTTAGTGGCTAATTCGTACGATTTCGTACGAGTTCAGTCGTACGAAATGGTATGATTTTAAAAAGGAGGCGTGGCACCTGACCCCACCCCTAACCCCAACCATCATTGGGGGATAAGCAAATCGTACTAAATTGTACGAATTAGATCGTACGAATTTATACGAATTAGCCACTAAATGAAAAAGTTACAAATTGCCGTGAGATTGTGTTGGATCAAACTACATCAAGCAAAATGAACTAATAAAAGAAGATAAAACATGAAGAAAAATTAAGGAAAAAAGTTAATAACAATAAAAAATATGAATGAATCAAATTATAATGTAAAAAAAGAAATCAGCTTGTGCACAAAAAAGTGATTGATAATATATATCAGACTAGGGAACCATGTTTGGAAATAAGTTCATAAAATGATTGAGAATTGAAACGTTGACACTAAATAGTAGATGTGAACAAACCTGTAATGCTTTAAAGCAGATTCAATTTCACATCCACATGTACAGTAAATGCACAGTTCAATAGCTGAAGATGCATGATCCATAAACTCTGGCTGTGTTTCCTCATCACAACCTGACCTCCATTTAGTTTACTGTGTATGCATTCATGTGCTGTGCTCCGATTGACAGGGTCCTTATGTAGCGTTTACTCCTCTCTGTTCTCTGAGCACAGGATATATTTAATCAGTCCAGTTCACTTGACAAAGAATTTATTCTGAACACCCTTCAATATCTTCACACAAAGCCAAAACCTGGGTCATGCATGCAACAAATCCCAAACGGCCTGCTTCTAGAGCATTTGCTATAGAAGACAATGAGCTTCATGTGCATGAGACCATCATTCATCATCTTGGCTTTCAGTTCCTCCCCTCAATTATGTCACAACATTGTCAACTCATAAGAAAACTGAATGCAGTTTGATGGCATAAATAAATATGATGTAAATGCAATAACATTTACTGAAACGTCTGGGTTTAGCCAACAAAAATTCATTAGTATGATGTAAGGTCTCCTTTTGCAGACTACAGCATCAATTGGCCTTGGTAATGACAGATACTGTACAAGACCTGCACAGTGGCCAGAGGGATTTTGAGCCATTCTTCTTGCAGAATAGTGGATAGAATAGTGGTCACTACATGATGCTTGTGAAGGGAAACTTTTAATGACTTGCTCCTCGAAACACCCAAAATTGGCACAATAAGATAAGATCTGGTGACTGTGCACCAGTCTTGCAGTGTTTATTGGTGCATTATCATCCAGATACACTACACTGCCTTTAGGATACAATATTTGAGCACATGGTCCTCTAGAATGGTTCGGTAGTCCTTGGCAGTTATGCCCCCATCTAGCACAAGTATTGGGCCTAGGGAATGCCAAGCTATTGCAGCCCAAACTATGACTAATCCACCCACTTGCTTCACTCTGGGCATACAACAGTCTGGGTGGTACGCTTTTTTGGGGCTTCTTCACACCGTAACTCTCCCAGATGTGGGAAAGATTGTGAAGGTGGACTCATCGGAGAACAATACAAGTTTCACATTGTCCACAGCGCAAGATTTTCACTGCTGGCACCATGAAAACCGATGTTTGCAATGGCAGGATTGACCAAATGAAATGAAGAAGTTTGGCTATAGCAGCTCGGCATGTGTATTAACCCTATGGAGCTGCGGACGAACAGTTTTGGTGGAAAATTGTCAGTTGCCTGTATTTTCTGTATGATTAATTAACATAAAATCCTTTATTAGCTCTAAAATGAGTGATACATATCTGCTGCAACTTTTTAAAATATAAAAATAAATATTATTTTCCTTTTATTTACTCTTTTTGGGTTGTATTATGGGAGTTTAATCTCTGTTCTGACAACTTTAATTTAGAAAAATTTAACAAAGTGATTTTACTGACTTCATTTTGTAGTTTAAAATGATATATATTGTATGATCATGCAAATTACAGCACTAAAACCAATTAACGGGTTAGTTCACCAAGTCACTACAGTAGGTTATTTGCAAACTGCCTGCACTTTTATTGAAGTTTATTTAATACTGTATGAAGCATCACATAATAGATTGTTGTCTTATGTGTTCACAGAATAAATTGTTACTTTGTGGATATTATTTGCAATTTATTGATATTTTTTTGCTACTATTTGATATTATTTGATATTTATTGATATCAATTTTTGTTCCAACCCTTAATGCTGATTAGTCAGTACTGTGGCTGTTTTTTTAAACAATCGTTAGTGTGAAAACTTACCCATGTGTTATGTATTTCAGCAAAATTAACTCTTTATTATTATATAAAGTATGCTGGGTCAATTAAATATAATTTAAAGGCCATGCTCTTTCCAGTTAAAAAACAATTTGTGAGATATATTGATGTGTGAAGCCCACTATTTCCAGAATGTGGAGGGAATATATATATATTTACTGAGTAAAAAAAAAAAACAGTTGCATAAAAACAGTTCAGTTTAAATTTTAATCAAGCTTATCAAAACTAATTCATAATAAAGGCTTAGCATCAAAAATATCATAAAAAACAATTTAAAAATTGTAATATTAAACATACTTTATCTAGCGTTTGACTATACAGTACATTGCAATTGTACTACTATTCAAGATTAAAATAGCAAAAATGCTAAAAGCAAGAAAGTGTTGCAAAAGTGATAAATGCACTTTTCATCAAAGTTAGAGATTGGTTTCATCTTTTTGGGATTTGATTTGTTTTTTTGCCCTCTTTCGAAGTTTTTTCTTCTTTCCTTTTGGATGCACCGGCTTCTCCTTTTTTTTGCGTTCATCTCCATTCATCAGTTCTCGGCCGTTGCTTCCTATCTCATTCTCAACCTGTGCCCTACAACCCGTAGAGGGCCCTATATCACAACACATTCCACAGTTAGTGCTGAAACAAACAATACCGTTCTCTAATATATACAGTATTTGATAGTTTCTCACCATCTGTGAATGTTAGGCTTTCAGCATCCATAACATCTGTGTTAGTGGAGAATCCAGCAGATGCTCTGATATGTCTGTTCACAGCAAATGAAATCTGAACTTGACCAGCAGCTGAGGAAACATTAATCAAATGGATACTAGCAACATACAGTATAATGCACACAAATATACAACAAGCCATAGTATTTAGGTTACAAAGCACTGCATACGGATGTTTTTACACATGCAATTTATTGGTGATCTGTGCCACTGCCAAATTTTGTGAAAAGACATGCTGCTTAAAAGCCAGTGTAAATTATACCTGTTAGGACTAAATTTATTCTTTAATATCGCAGCATATAGTTGTAAATTAGTTTATCCATTAAACAATCTGTGTGAAAACAATTAACGTCATAACTGCTTCTGTGCCTGTTTTGTGGTGTTAAAATGATACTGAATTGGTCATTTTATAGTTGCATAAGCCTTAATTTGAATATTTTGTACCATTTTAAGTTCATTTCAAACCAGTTTGAGTTTTTCTTTTCGTTTTTTGGTTGTTCTGTTGAAGACAAAAGAAAATATTTTAAAGAATGTTGAAAACCTGTAACCATTGACGTCAGTAGTATGTGTTTATCCTAGCATATGTACAGTCTGCTTATTGCTAGCACAAATCAGCATGTTTTTAGCATTTTACCTTGTGGCTAGCATGAATTAGCATGCTGCTGTTTTTATAAATGTATTGATTTATTAGCGTGTGGTTAGCATGTTTCAGAACTTGGCTAGCATGTTAAATCAATAAGTACTTACCAATGTGATTTTGTGTTTCTCTAAAAAAAGAGAGAAAAATAGAAATTCTTTAGAAAATATTAAATCAAATACTTTATAAACTCACTGCCCACTTTATTAGGTACACCTGTCCAACTGCTTGTTAACGCAAATTTCTAATCAGTCAATTACATGGCAGCGACTCAATGCAATTAGCCATGTAGACATGGTCAAGACGATCTGCTGCAGAATGGGGAAGAAATGTGATTTATATTACATGGCATGTTTGTTGGTGCCAGACAGGCTGATCTGAGTGTTTCAGAAAATGCTGATCTACTGGGATTATCACAACCATCCATAGGGTTTACAGAGAATGGTCCGAAAAAGTGAAAATCTCCAGTGAGCGACAGTTCTGTGGGTGCAAATGCCTTGTTGATGCTAGAGGTCAGAGGAGAATGGCCAGACTGGTTCCAGCTGATAAAAAGGCAACTGTAACTCAAATAACTCGTTACAACCAAGGTATGCAGAAGAGCGTCATGAACGCACAACACATCCAACCTTGAGGCAGATGGGCTACAGCAGCAGAATATCATATTGGGTAACACTCCTGTCAGTTAAGAAAAGGAAACTGAGGCTACAATTCGCACAGGCTCAGCAAAATTAGACAATAAAATATTGAAAAAAAAAAACGTTGTCTGGTCTAATGAGTCTCGATTTCTGCTGCTACATTCAGATGGTAGGGTCAGATTTAGGCGTTAACAAAATGCAAGCATGGATCCATCCTGATTTTTGTCAACGCTTCAGGCTGCTGCTGGTGGTGTAATGGTGTGGGGGAGATTTTCTTGGCACACTTTGGGTACATCAGTAGCAATTGCACCGTGTCAACGCCACAGCCTACCTAAGTATTGTTGCTGACCATGTCCATCCCTTTATGACCACAGTATACCCATCTTCTAAAGGCTACTTCCAGCAGGATAACGCGCCATGTCATAAAGCACAAATCATCTCAGACTGGTTTCTTGAACATGACAATGAGTTCACTGTACTCAAATGGCCTCCACAGTCACCAGATCGTAACCCAATAGAGCAGGGGTGTCAAACTCAATTCCTGGAGGGCCGAAGCCCTGCACAGTTTAGTTCCAACCCTGCTCCAACACACTTACCTGTAGGTTTCAAACAAGCCTGAAGGACTCAATTAGTTTGATCAGGTGTGTTTAATTAGGGTTGGAACTAAACTGTGCAGAGCTGCGGCCATTTTGGAACTTAGTTTGACACCTGTGCAATAGAGCATCTTCGGGATGTGGTGGAACAGGAGATTTGCTTCTTGGATGTGCAGCCGACAAATTTGCAGCAGCTGCGTGATGCTATCATGTCAATATGGACTTAAATTTCTAAAGAATATTTCAAGTACTGTGTTGAATCTATGCCATGAAGGATTAAGGCAGTTAAGAAGGCAAAAGGGAGTCCCACCTGACACTAGTTGGGTGTACTTAATAAAGTAACGGTGAGTGTATTATGCTGCTTTTCACACTGCGAAATAGTTAACCCTGGGTTATTTTAAACCTTGTATAAACAGAAACCCTATCTCCCTTTACGCTTCAAACTGCTCTTAATTTCTCGATGGTTAATAGTTAACATAATGCTATTATATTGACAATTTACACTATACATGTTTCATAATTACACATTATAGGGTTTAGAATGATGATAACCAGGGTTTAACACAGTTTATCTATCAGGTAAATATCAAAACGTTTTACCCATGATGATGTGATGCAGTCACAAATGGAGTGCACCTCCGTAATGGAAAAGATCCTTGATCATAAACCACTTCAGCATGTAAACCGATTTGGTCATCCTGACACTCGACTGAAATCTGCGCATGGAATGTTAAACACGTTATTTATAGCTTCCAAGTGTTTAAACAAAGATTTTGTTATCTATTTTAACAAACCACAACAATCTTAATTACTTTCTCAATGTCTTCACACTGAACTGGAACCTAAAAAACAGAGATGAATGTAAAAGATGTTCAAAATGTGAACCAATGACTAAAATTCCTAAAAAAAAGTTCCTAAAATAGCTTTAGCACTACAAAGTTCATGCGAACCTCTCGAAACCCCAGATTTCTAGATGTGACTGCGGTGTCTTCGGTTCGCTGTCTCGCCTACAGAAGATTTGACTAATCAAATTACTCATCAACAAACTTGTTTTTCAGGCTACACTCTACAAACGCAGTTCCCATTTTGTATTAGTTACTTAATATTCTGATAATAACTAATTTTTTCCAACCAAACAAACCACTGGCTTCCGACATGTTAGCAGCATATGCTAATGCTAACAAATTTGTTATTAAAACCTACACTTCTGCAATAAAGAAAGCTAATTTTTGTGATATATAGGTTTCAGCTTTAACATTTCATATGTTAATGTATTAAGTGTGTAGAGTAAAGTTATAATTTTTAATTACCCTTCGGGATCCACGTGCCATGGTTGCTGTATGTCACCAAGTGATGTTGTTTTGAGTGTGCACTCTTTAAATGACTCATTTTTTGGCACTTGTTTATTGAGATGTATGGCGTCATTTCCTTTACAGTGTTATGAAGCGGCACACGTTGAATTATTTGCTTATCTGTAAACACTTGCATACTTTGAGATTTAGATGGGTGAGATTACTTTAACGCTGATTGAGCACAGCAAAATGAAGTTTGTTTCTATTTTTCACAAGAACCGCATCATGTAAGTGGTTTCGTAGGTGCTCTTTAGGTGGGATTTTAGTATGGTTAGGGTCAGGTTTAGTGGTATAGGTTTAAAGGTGGGTTAATGTGTAAAGTATGGCCAACAGTGTAACTATGAATGTAATTATATAATCTCATTACAGATGTAATTACATGCAGATATTTATTCAAGCACAAGTCAAATGAAAACATATGAGTTTACTCAATAAGTACACTGTAACTAAGTTTTAATTTCAAAGTAAGTAGATTTTAGTTATGGCCACTTAACAAGTGAGACCAAATTTTCAAAATGTGTGAGATATAGGACTTAAATGTATTTTGTAAAAGTTTAATGTACCTTAATTTATAAATATTTTTGTCATCCATAAACTCCATATCTGATAATATTTTTTCTTCTGGAGAAAGTCTTGTTTGTTTTATTTTTGCTGAATAATAATTAATAATAAATAAAAAAAAACATTTTAAGTTCAAAATTATCAGCCCCTTTAAGCTATATATTTTTTGATAGTAAAAATAATAAACCATCATTATACAATAAACTTGCCTAATTACCCTAACCTGCCTACACTGTAAAAAAAAATCTGTAATTTAAAAAAGCGTAAAATAACGACTGTTAAATTACAGAAATTTAACGTAAAATAACAGACATTAAATTACATAACATTATTTGCATTAAAATTTCTGGTAAACTTCTGTAATTCAACCTCTGTTATTTTACAGTAAATTTCTGTAATTTAATGGACGTTTTTTTTTTTTTTTTTTTTCACCCCAGCTGCCGGAAATAAACCATAAAATTCCGGAATTTATTTACAGTGTATTTAACTTATTTAACCTAGTAAAGCTTTTAAATGTCACTGTAAGCTGTATAGAAGTGTCTTGAAAAATATCTAGTACAATATTATGTACTGTCATTATGGCAAAGAAAAAAGAAATCAGTTATTAGAGAAGAGTAAAACTATTATGTTTAGAAATGTGTTAAAAAAATCTTCTTTCCGTTAAAAAGAAATTCAGTGACAAAAATAAACGGGGGGGGGGGGGGTAATTCAGGGGGCTAATAATTCTGACTTCAACGGTATATACATATGCTTAACCAAAAAAAAAAATTAGAGAAATAATATACTTAATAATATTTATTTAAATTTTTTTGAATATTGAATTTGATGTTATTTGTTTATATTGATTTCATTTGTCTGAAAATTATGTGCTTTTCAACCTTTTTAATCTTTTTATTAAAAAAAATCCTGATCAAGTTACAATTTCACACATTTAAAATATATTCATATATTCACTTCAAATGTAATATCGAATGACACGTTGCAGTTAAAAGTACTTAACAAATAAGACGTGTGCTTTTGAAGAGCATGGCAAAAAATATTGCATTGTTATTAAAACAACATGGCTAAAACTGTTGTTTAAACTATTATTTCATTATTTAAATATAATAAAATAAGTACAGATTATAATTTTACATTACTTTAAGTATATTCTGAAAGTATATTTATGCGTGTTAAGAAGCTGAATTAAAAAAAGTAAAAGTGTGGTGTATTAAATTATATTAATTACAAATTATTCAAACATTAATTGTAATATTATATTACATGCAGTGCAGTGTTTTAATATTTAAAAACATCATATTTAACACTGAAGAACACATTTAAAAGAGTTAAGCCAGTGTCTACCAAAATATATAGGAGTGAAACACAGATGCTTCATATTTTTGCCTTAAAATACAGCTGAAGTCATAATTATTGGCCCCTCTGAATTATTAGCCCCCCAGTTTATTTTTTCCCTAATTTCTGTTTAACGGAAAGAGGATTTTTTCAACACATTTCTAAACAATAATTTTAATAACTCATTTCTAATAACTGATTTATTTTACCTTTGCCATGATGACAGTAAAGAATATTTTACTAGATATTTTACAAGACGCTTCTATACAGTTTAAAGGCCTAACTAGGTTAGTTAGGTTAACTAGGCAGGTTAGGGTAATTGGGCAAGTTATTGCATAACGATGGTTTGTTCTGTAGACTATCGAAAAATATAGCTTAAAGGGGCTAATGATATTGACCTTAAAATGTTTATAAAAACTTTTAAAACTGCTTTTATTCTAGCCAAAATAAAACAAATAAGACTTTCTCCAGAAGAAAAAATATTATCAGACAAACTGTGAAAATTTCCTTGCTCTGTTAAACATACTTTGGGAAACATTTTTAAAAAGAAAAAAACATTCTAAGGGGGGCTAATAATTCTGACTTCAACTGTATGTAATACATAAAATCAGTCTCTTACCACCAGGAGGCAATCTTGCACTACACAATGTGACAAAGTAGGCGCACAGCAAACATGCATCTTAGTAGTTCACAGTACCACACAAGGATGTGTAGAAAATATGGCAATCACAAACAAATGCATATTTGGAGACGAATATGTCTAAAAGGCAGAAAAAGTTATGATAAATATGAAATGCACTAAAGAAGTGGCTGTTCTACAGAGTCTACATATCCTCCGAGCACTAGAGGGTGATAGAGAGATTAGTTCAGCCCAGTGGGATTCCGGGAGATCCTTAGGGACATGGTTAATCATTCTTGTGCCAGCTGCTACCTTGGATGATTTTCCAGCACTATTGATTTCAAAGTAAAGAAAGTTTCCCTTCAGACAAAGCTTAATATATTTTATGAAAACTGCTGCACTGTGTGCTGTTTAGTTTTTTAGTGCTGTCTTGTTGGCATTTGCTAGTTAGGCTGTGACGTGTGAAAATGGCCACCGATGACATCATTCTTGAATTATACCCAATGCTGGTGTTAAGGCAGAATACTCAATAATAAATGAATGAATGAATGTCATTTTGGAGCTATTTGTATTTGAGTATGTTGAAGACTAAAGGAAATAAATCCATTTATCCATTTATCTATAATTTTTTAAAGTTATCTCAAAACATGTACATTAATAATTTATTGATTATCTGATTGTTGGAGTGATGGATAGCCAGATGATTTGGTTGGTTGATTTTCACATGGTTTAATGTAAGGATGGATGGGTGCATTGATTGATTGATCGATTGATTGATTGATTTATTGATTGATTGATTGATTGATTGATGGACTGATTTGGTTGATTGATTTATTGAGGGAGCAATTGTAGGGGTGATTAATGCGTGTATGTCTGGATGGATGGATGGATGGATGAATGCATGGATGATGATTGATTGATTGATTGATTAATTGATTGATGGAAGGACTGATTGATTGATTGATGGATGGATGGATGGATGGATTGATGGATTGATTGATGTAAGGATTGGTTGATGGAGGGACTGCCATATTGATTGATGGATAGAAGGACTCATTGATTGATGGATGGATGGATTCATTGTTTATTGGACTGATGGATAGATGAGTTGATTGATAGATAGGACTCATTTACTGATTGATTGATTGATTGATTGATTGATTGATTGATTCATTGATTGAAGGAGTGAATAACGCATATATGGATGGGTGGATGGTTGTATAAGTGGCTGGATGGATTATTGATTGATTGATTGATTGATTGATTAATCGATTGGTAGATAGATAGATAGATAGATAGATAGATAGATAGATAGATAGATAGATAGATAGATAGATAGATAGATAGATAGATAGACAGACAGACAGATAGATAGATAGATAGATAGATAGATAGATAGATAGATAGATAGATAGATAGATAGATAGATAGATAGATTGATTGATTGATTGATTGATTGATTGATTGATTGATTGATTGATTGATGGTAGGACTGATTGATGGATTGATTGATCGATAAAGGCTTGATGGATGGATGGATGGCTTGATGGATGGATGGATTGATTGTTTAATGGACTAATAGATGGATAGATAGATTGATTGATGGAAGGATGGATCGATTGATTTGGTTGAATTATTCATTGATTGTAAGAGTGATTAATGTATGTTTATTTATTTGATTTTTGGAGTGATGGAGAACCTGATGAGTTGATTGGTTCATTGATTAAATAATTGTTAGATGCATTGATGGATTAATGGACGGGTTGATTGATTGGATGATAGAAGGCCTGATGGATGGACGGATTGATTGTTTAATGGACTGATGGATGGATTGATTGATTTGTTGATAGAAAGATGAATGAATTGATTTTATTGATTGATTCATTGATTGAAAGAGTTATTAATGTATGTATGTATGTCTATATGTATGTATGCATGGATGGATAGATAGATGGATGATTTATGGAAAGACTGATGGATGGATAGATAGATAGATTGATTGATTGATTGATTGATTGATTGATTGATTGATTGATTGATTGATTGATTGATTGATTGATGGACTTGGCTGATTGATTTATTGATTCATTGATTGAAGGAGTGATTAATTTATGTATGTATGTATGTATGTATGTATGTATGTATGTATGTATGTATGGATTGATTGATTGACTGACTGATTGAAGGACTGTGGTTGATTCTTGTGTTTAAACTTCTTCAAAAACCAATGAGACTTTTGCACATCACACAGACTGACCTTTGTTTATTTTGGCTTATCAATATTTAAATGTGAATAATATCAAAATTTAATCTGTTTATTATATCAAGTGGCCATCTCTCTAAGATTGAAATGCATTTATTTAGTCTTTTATTACTTTGAACAGCTTCAGAGTTTTGGTGGGACAGAACTTTCTCAGATTATTAAAATATCATTTGTATTACAATCTTATGGGATTGAAATTTGATGACAGGATATATATATATATATATATATATTTTTTTTTTTTATTAACTTCTTTAAAAATATGTTAATTTTGAATTATTGCATACATGTTTTCTGGATATAAATTCCACATTGGACTCAGATGGGC